CCCCCGTCTATGTCAAAAAGTCCTCTCATGTGTGAAGAACTACACTAATTAGATGTGGGTTTTTATGTGTTATATTTTAAGAATTATTCACAGTCCAATATTATGATGTCATTTTGAATATATTGACCGTTTGTGTGAAGGCGTGTAGGTCAAAGAGGCCTGCCTGTTATAGTAGTTTATGGTATAAGATACCAACTCTTTTTATCCCATGCCATCAGTTTTATAATTGGATTTTTGGACACACCGATTTATTTATTTATATATTTACATACATTTTATTATTTATTTCACATTTTTTTCATTTTATTTATTTAATGTATCTATTAGTTTTTCGATTTTTTGATAGTTTTTACTTCTTGATACAATTTACAAAGTATACATTCACTATATTGTAATTCACTAACAAGCCATGTTGAGACACTTATAGTGGTATTAATGAATTTTTTAGGTATAAGCAATATACCGCTACCACGGTAATCCTCCACAATTAGAGTCACCACAGAATAATTTATATACACTATTTAATCAACAACATATGTTTATATATAATTTATTTATAGATCACAAATTAGCACATTTTAAGTACTATCTATTAATTTATCACATAGAATTATTTATCACCATTTTCACCGTATATAGTTTGACATTGTGTTTAGTGACAACTAAACCTACCCCAAACCAAAGAGATCCACCAACACCGAGCGCAACATACTAGTTCATTTTGCCTGATTTATATCAACACATTGGTGCAGCTGGTGACAAAATATAGCTACTCCTAGCGCAACTAATTGATTTGAATACTGTACCCAGGGCGCATTGCACATACCTCTTCAAGGTCAGTTACTCGTTAATTTTGTCTGGAAGAATGCAGCTTAGAAAAAACAAGAATCAACAATTGCTGCTCTCATATTTGTCTTGATGTTAGGGTCAAACAGCAGATTCCTGTCACAAGAATATGTGGATAACTGCAGCTAGGATCACAGGTGTATATCTGAACAGCTGCAGCCATGAATCCTGTACACAGCAATGACAGGCTGACAGGAGCCATTACTGTCTGCTGCTTTTTGCATGCATCCACACATCCAGTGCCAACAGTTACCTTTGTTTATGATCAGATGTCTGACCTTGGACACAATCTGTCTGTGTCCAAGGTCAGATATCTGACCTTAACCATTGGTAGTGCAGATACATGCAAACCATGGCTGACAACCGGGGCTCCTATCAGCCTGTGATTGCTTCACACTTAACATTCACCAGTGATCCAAGCCACACAAATTCATAGAATTTCCAGGAATCCTCTGTCTGCCACTATTCGTACATGTAAACAAGCCCTATCACAGGTAGTTGCAACCATCACAAGGAACCACACTTTAGTAATGTTATTACCTTTAGGCACTTTTTAGACCATATTACACTTACTCAGGTGAGGTCATGTCGGGTTTATATGACAGACCGCACCCCACACCCCCCTAGGTATTTAGTTTTCCCAAGCTCTCTTGTCACCCTGTTCACCAGATGGAGCCATGTTAAATACTGGTACTACCAGCTGCTATAGGGGTGTAGGTGACCGTCTCCCCTACCTCCCTCTGCACCTTCAGACTTGTGTAAGATCCAACACCAAGCTTCACAGGGCTTTTTGCTCAGGGCTCTGGCAGGGGTTTGGTGGGCTATCAAGAGAACCTATTACAGGACATGGTCATTTTATGTGGTCTATATTTACATGAACAATTAGCAGACAATATCCTAAAAAATAGGCAAATGCAAGCGGGCAAGAATGTGGAACTCTTGTAAGAAATAGGCTAGACATGACAAGGTGTTTATCTGTATAATAAAATCCCCTTATAACTGGTTTTCTTATTTTCCTTCTTCAAAGTCTTCAAAGTCCACCCGTTCCTTATAATTGAGTGTGCTGCAGGAGGCTCCCTAGCTGCTCCTTCATTCCCAACCTTTCTGATGTGCTTTCACTCTCTATTAAGTAAAATGCCTCCTGAAGTCACAATCCATGATATGAAGCAGAGGGACAGAGGCAGCCCAGGGGTCTGAGGCAGATTTGCATGGACAGAGACAGGATCTGGACTGTCAAAAACAGATATAAAAGAAAGGGGAGCCAAAGGCATAATATTACTACGGACAAACTATACATACTGAAAAGCAAAATGTGATTCAGTAAAGCTTATCGTGCTAAAACCCAAATAATGCTGTAACCATAACCTAAATAAGAGTGCAAGAGTCGAATATTGGATGATGTTACATTTGGGCTGAATTCTTTGGGCAAATCAGAATTTTAGTGTTCTTTTTGGTGGTTCAAATTTCCAAACGACTTCTGGCTTAAATGGACCAAATGGTGCTTTCAAGCAGAAATGAGGTCATTAAAAAAAAAATACTGACAGGTAGGGTTTTTATGACTAAATAGACTCTATATGTCTCTGTGGTCATAAATGTTCCACCCTGCATGTGCAGCTTAGCGCACAAGCTCAGCAAGGTCCTGCCTCAAGATGAAGTGACTCCCATGTGCATGCCCTGGAGTTACATCTTCCTAGACCAGCCAATTAAGAGGACAAAGATGCCAAACCCAGAAAAAAACTGGGAGAAGATGGAAGTGCCAGCAACAAAAGAGAGCACTGGCATAGCAGTGCTGGAGGGAATTGCCTGAATGATAAGTTGCCATAATGTGCTAATATGTTGTGCTAGCACATTATGGCAAACATCTTCTGGAGGCCCAAAGTTTCAGTTTTGGTTTGGTAGTTTACTTTCACTTTAAAATGTGTTTCTACCTTATAGCTGCTTTTGCTGTTAACTGGAGATTTGCTTTAAAGAGGCCCTTTCCTTTGCCTAGTTGCAGCAATGTAAGGTCACTTCATTTCCCCACTCTCAGCAGCATATACTCACCTTTGCATCACTCTCCTGCCAACCCATGACGCTCTGACCCAGTCTGGAGCTTACCCAGGGCTTTCCTTCCCCATTCCTTAGGGTATAGTGGTGCAGGAGTGAGGAGGAGCATACTCTGCTTGGGAGGTGGGAAGGTAATTGCCCTCTTACTTTGCCCTGCATGGGCAAGAAAGTTGTAATTTATGAAAGACCTTCCATACAATTTGTTCTTTTTAACTTTCTTTGCTGAGTTAAAATTAGATGTTTCTTGGATTGTCTCGTGTCTGTGGGTTATCTAAGAAGATAAGTCACTCCAACATCCTCAATCAATTTGTCTTTATTGATGCTTAATCATGTTATCACAAAATCACCACATTTCGGGGCCAAACAGGGTCCCTTCATCAGGCAGGCAGTAAGAAGTAGAGATTGCATATGCATAGAATACGTTTGGCTGTCCCAAGTACATATATTTATATATTACTGATATTTATATAGTGTCAACAATTTATGCAGCGCTTTACATACAGTAGTTGCACATTCACATCTGTCCCTGCCTTCAAGGAGCTTACAATTTAAGGTTCCTATCTCACATGTATACATACAAGGCCACTTTAGACAACCTATGGCAGCATGTCTTTGGAGTGTGATAAAGCTTATGGGCCGCCCAACAGCCAAAAGACAGTGAGTAAACCTGACCGTACACGGAATAAATTTTCAACTTGTTCCTGATGAACTTGACAAAATTTGAGATGTGTGTGGCCCTGTCTCTCTCCCCCCCTCCCCCCCCATAGATTTGTTCATAAATTCAGCTTACATGGTTAAATGAATGAATGAATGAATCCCCTCCCCGGCTGGATTTTGCTGGGTAGTGCTGAAAGGACCACACACAACATAAAACCTGACCAATTTTGGAGCCATGTCTGGCCAGCTTATCTCATATCAGCCAATTAGATGTTATTCTTTACACTGCTTGAAGCAACCAGAACTAAGAAGTTGATTTTCTTTTTGATTGATATGGATTATTGTGTTTTTTGATTTGTTTTTTAATTGCCCTAATTAAAAAGTCACCTGAGTTTCTCTAGTAGTAATTATTTGGCAGTATATACTGACTTGCTCTCCTTTTTTTCCAGCTTGCAACAATTGCAGACAGCATTGATCATGTGTTCCCCGTGGTGGGTGGATTTCATGCTTTGCAAGGAGTTATTGATTCAGTGAGTACATATTCATACACTGTATAGTGTACTTGCTTGTAGAATTGGTAGACAACGGAAATTACAAATTACAACCACAGCAGCCTATGGAGCTGGCACAAAGGAAGTCTGGTGGTGGTCCCTCTTAAAGTGTACAGTATGTTAACTCTAACAACAAAATTATTTATGTGCTCCTTTTAGGTCTATTAGATATACCATTGAAAGCATTTTGTTATATCTAATAAATATTTTTTAAAAAAAACGATTTATGTTGTCAGAAATTCAGAACGGTACTGTGTCCTATGCACACTTTCTGAAATTAGCCCTCCTAGTTCTTATCATGGACCACAGAATCATTAGCCTTGTGTTGTGGGATAGGTTGAGTAGTTTACCAAAAGTCAGTGGCCACGGTTGATGTTATTCAGTCTACCAAAAAGCTCCATGTTGTCAGTTCATAACAGGACGTAGGAGCTGGGTGCATTTTTAGAAGAACTGTTATTTTTCTTTACTCGCAGGTTCATTAAATAAATAAATTACAGGGGAATGTACACAGGGAAACTAATAAAAAACCCTCAAAACTCAAGTCCAATAAGCATATGTAAACCTAAATCTATTTTTCAGTATGTTTGTCAAAATGATTCACTGATTAGGAATGAAATGTAAGCTGGTGCGCGGTTATGCAGAGCTTTGCAGGTGAGGCTGAGAGGTTTGAAGTGCATCCTAAAAGAAACAGGAAGCCAGTGCAGAGATTGACAGAGTGGTGGCGTGTGAGAGTAGCAGGAGGTAAGGTAGATTAGTCTGGCTGAAGAGTTCATGATGGATTGAAGGAGGGCAATCTGGGTACATTTCAGGCCAATGAGATGAGGAATTGCAATAGAAAATTCCCATTAGAGTTCCCAATAGTCAAGTCAGGAAATGGTTAGCGCGTTGACAAGCATTTTAGTGGTTTCCTCAGCATTTTGGTGGTTTCCTCAGTGAGAAAAGGTCTAATTCGAGAGATGTTTTTCAAATGTAATGGCACGATTTAGTGATAGAGTGTCTGTAAGGGGAAAAGGAGGGGCTAGAAGGAACGATCATATAGATAGGAAGATAACACATTTTGTAGAAGGAGCTACAAACAGATGGAGGCAACGTCCAGGTGTTCGGCAGACGCTGGAGCAGCGACTGCTAAATACTATATCTGGCAGCAGGAGATTTCTCCATCCATGCGGTTTTGGATGGATGGAGGAATCTGTTAGATTTTTTTCATTTAGCCTAAGGGCTGAACAATAAAAACAATAAAAATCTAGTAGGCCTCACTTAGAATGGCAGCAACAAAAAGGATTTGAGGTCAATCACTGTTTGAGTGCAGTAGAACAGCAGCTGACCAGCATTCAGAAAATTATACTGCTGCCTCCTGAATGCAGTTTTTTTTCTACTCTAATGGGAATTTTCTATTGCAATTCCACGGTGCAACCTATTGACTGCAATGGTTTTGTTTGGCAAGCAGCAGCACCACCAGCATCAGCGACAAAGAGCATCACGGCTGCAGCAAGTATACAAGCATGAGCATATAAAATCAACTGCTTGTTTTTACCATCCATCGGCATCCCGCGTAAACAAGGCCTTAGTGCAGGGGTGGGCAACTCCGGCACTCCAGCTATGCTTTAACTACAAATCCCAACATGCCTCTGGGAGTCATGTCTGTAGCTGTCAGTCTTGCAATGCCTCATGGGACTTGCAGTTCCACCTCAGCTGGAGGGCCAGAGTTGCCCACCCCTACCTTAGTGTATGACTAGCCAGGTTGCTGTTATTGAAAGGATCCCCAAGTAAGAAACTTTGCAACAAATTAACAAAAAAAATGTACATAAAGGAGAACTATGAGGTGAGTCTGTGAAGGTTCTCATTCATCCAGGTCATGGTATATCTGTAAAAAAGAAGTCAAGGCAACTGGACTTGCTGTATTTTTCTTGAAGGCGTTTCACTGGACATCCGACCAGCTTTCTGGGTGTTAAAGAGAGAGGTGTTAAAACAGCATTGTATGCAGCAGACAATAGATGTCTCACCCCCCTCTATTCAAGCTTGGCTTCTCCATTTTTACATAAATGAGTTACAACATAAATTACAACTATGAGGTTAGTGATTTCCACTCATCCTCATTGTTAGATCCGACCTATGACAAAAAAGCTGTCACAGGTTGATGGGGAAGTGAGTGGATTGGTGGCACGTTTCTGTTCACTTCCCAATCAATAGAGCCTATCGATTGGGAAGTGAACAGAAACGTGCCACCAATCCACTCACTTCCCGATCGTCTCCCTGCATTGAGCAGTGACTGTGAGTCACCGATCCCAGCAGGGATTCCCCATTCCCCTCTCCGATCCTCCAGCGCTGAGTGGAGGAACGAACGGGCAAGGGGGCGGGCACAGCTGGCTCTGCATATAGATAGGCAGAGTCAGCTGTCACTCACGCAGCTGGGTGGATCTCAACAGTATTGTCAGGATCTGTCCCAGCTGCGGCGCTCTCAGTATATCGCGGGCAATAGCTAGTATGGTATAGGTTAGTACATGTTCTTCCATGACCCTAAAGAGAATAGCAATCAAGTTAAGTGTAAAAAAAAATTAAAAATTAATGTCTCATTTAAAAAAAAAAAAAACACCAAAAAGTCCCCTGCCCCTGTGTGCACGCACTTATAAACGTAAATATGAGTCAGGTCCGCCTACGTGCGAAAACAAGGATTACACCACACATGTTACATATCGCCGCAAATGTCGCAGTGAGAGCAATAATTCTAGGCCCATCAGTCACCGATGACACTAAAATGATGAGCGGTAAAAGCTTTTAAAGCATCGCCTATGGACAATTTTAGGCATGGACGTTTTTTGCGACTTTGCTGACGCATGCAATTTTAAAGCTTGACATGTTTGGTGTCTATTTACCTGACGTGACCCCGTCTTTTAATATTTTACCAAAAAATTGGGTAATAATAAATGTTTTATAACACAACGTAGGGAAAACAGTTTTTGTTTCAAAATTTTCGGTACTATTTTTATTATATAGTAAAAACTAAAAACCTCAGTGGTGATTATATACCACCAAAAGAAAGCTCTATCTGTCCCCAAAAATTGTCTAAAATGTATTTCAGGACATCGTTGCATGACGGAATAAATGTCAGTCAAAGTACCGCAGCGCTGAATACTAAAAAATGGCCTGGACAGGAAGGGGGTATAATACCCAAGTCAGCAAGTGGTAAAGAAAACTGTAAACACTGAACGCATGTCGCAATGACGTGTGTGTTTGTGGGTGTTTTTTTTCCCACGTTCGCCGGGTGTCCCCACTGGTTTCAATGGGTGCCTGCATGCATGACAAACACGGGAAAGTACCTTGTGTAGTAAATTCTAATACTCGCTCTTTTGTGTGTATCTTCCAGGCCACATTTGGGGTGCCATTAACTAGTAATGGCACTGCAAGTGTGTCTAAATGCACGTTTGGCGCACATTCATGGAACACGATGATGCATGATGCCAGACACACTGAAAAATAAATTTATTTAATCATTGATCTGTCCCTGGTTAGATCTGCTTGCCATTTGAGGGTTAAGCTAATTTCTTGAGCAGACGGGGAAAGATATGGACTTTTGCCTTGAAATAACAGCAGCTGCCTGGCACACCATTCTCTCAACTCGATGCCGCATGCCAACTAAGAACTGCATCTTCTTTCAGATCCTAAAGAAGTCCTGCATTGAGATCCTAGCTGCTGAGCCGTCCAGCGTCTGTGCAGGAGGTGAGTCACAAGTTACCACAGGAATGACAACTCTTTAAGGCGAGGGGTGGCAAGACATTGCTAGACATCTCTGGCCTTTAAGAGGAGCTGTCAGTTTGTGTTTTGTAAATCCTCAAGTGTGTATATAGCTTGTCTAATTCAATATCACTATTTGTTTATGTTAAAGCTGAACTCCAGGCATGAACGCTTTCATTTAAATATATTCCTCAATAGTCACAAAGGATAGAAATCCACTTTGTGCACACAAAATGCTTTAAAACCCCCAAATGTAAAGTAGCCGTGAGATAATTACTGTGGTGTACAAAACCTCTGCAGAAAGCAGAACTGTGGAATGGGTCGCTCTCAGGAGCACAGTGATTTCAAGCGTGGTATCGTGATAGGTTGCCACCTGTGCAATAAGTCCATCCGTGACATTTCCTTGCTACTAAATAGCTAGCGCCGGTGTTGTAAGCGACCCAGGGCACGGGCCCCCCCATCTGGCCACAAGCCCTCGGGCAGTGCCTGAAGGGTCAGTCCGCCACTGGTTGCTGCTGCAAGAAAACTAGCAAGCCAATAACATTCTGTGCTCTGTCTGTGTTGATTGTTATACGTTAGATATGTGTATTCGGATTTGGAGGAACCTGCAAATCAACGAAATTCAATATACTAAAACTACGCTATATTGCCAAAAGTATTGGGACACCCCACCAAATCATTGGATTGATGTGTTCCAATCACCTCCATGGCCACAGGGATATAAAATCAAGCACCTAGGCATGTCGACTGCTTCTACAAACATTTGTGAAAGAATGGGTCACTTTCCGGACATCAGTGAATTCAAGCGTGGTAACGTGATAGGTTGCCACCTGTGCAATAAGTCCATTTGTGAATTTTCCTTGCTACTAAATATTCCACAGTCAACTGTTAGTGGTATTATAACAAAGTGGAAGCAACTGGGAACAACGGCAACTCAGCCACAAGGTGGTAAGCCACGGGAAATGACAGAGCGGGGTCAGCACATGCTGAAGCGCACCGCGCGCAGAAGTCGCCAACTGTCTGCAGAACCAATAGCTACAGACCTGCAAACTTCGTGTGGCCTTCAGATTGGCACAACAACAAAGCGTAGAGAGCTTCATGGAATGGGTTTCCAGGGACGAGCAGCTGCATCCAAGCCTTATATCACCAAGTGCAATGCAAAGTGTTGGATGCAATGATGTAAAGCACGCCGCCACCGGACTCTAGAGAAGTGGAGACGTGTTCTCTGGAGTGACGAATCACGCTTCTCTGTCTGGCAATCCGATTGGACGTGTCTGGGTTTGGGGGTTGCCAGGAGAATGGTACTTGCCTGACTGCATTGTGCCAAGTGGAAAGTTTGGTGGAGGGGGGGATTATGGTGTGGGGTTGTTTTTCAGGGGTTGGGCTTGGCCCCTTAGTTCCAGTGAAGAGAACTCTTAAGGCATCAACATACCAAGAAATTTTGGAAAATTTCATGCTCCCAACTTTGTGGGAACAGTTTGGGGATGGCCCCTTCCTGTTCCAACATGACTGCACACCAGTGGATGAGAGAATTTGGTGTGGAGAAACTTGACTGGCCTGACCTCAACCCGATAGAACACCTTTGGGATGAATTAGAGCGGAGACTGCGAGCCAGGCCTTCTCGTCCAACATCAGTACCTGACCTCACAAATGCGCTTCTGGAAGAATGAGCAAACATTCCCAGAGACACACTCCTAAACCTTGTGGGCGCCTTCCCAGAAGAGTTGAAGCTGTTATGGCAGCAAAGGGTGGGCCAATGCAATATTGAACCCTACGGAATAAGACTGGGATACAATTAAAGTTCATGTGCGTGTAAAGGCAGGCGTCCCAATACTTTTGGCAATATAGTGTATATTAAGCACACCAAGATTCAAGTAAGAATGGCTCCTTTATTTAAAAAAATATTTGCTTATCCCAGAGTTCATCTCTAAGACTTATTGTAGTTTACTACAATTTTCAATTAAATAAATTTTGTACATAGTAGCAACTTGCTTACCATAATTTCATACTTGTTTTCTTCTGTCCCCAGTAGATTTCCCCCATTTGCTTTTTTCTGAAAAAATACTTACTGTTAGTTGGGATTCTGTCTTCTGTGTTTGAATTAACCTCAGACAGATATTCCCACAAATTTCCCTGCAGAGTGGAAACAATGTAACGCTTACTTAGCAAAATGTATGAGGTTCCTATGTTCCTTCAAATATCTAGCCATGCGCAACAGAAATAAAAAAAAAATGCACATAATTGAAAAACTAAAATGCATGCAGATTTAGCTGATTAAATCAAGCAAACCTGTCACCAGGTGGAAAAAAAGTAACGCTAAACTCCAATATGAATCCATACAGGGGTGCTGTTTACATGCCAAAGACCTTGTATTTCTGTCCATCCACTTCTGCAATTTATACAGCCTGCCACACAGTACAGCTCTGTCTGGTGGGGTAGAAGACCTGATTATTCCCTGCTGTAATTCACTAAAACTTAAATGTCTCCTCCCCACCCCCAGTGACTGGACAGGGACAGAAGAGACAGCAGACTGATGACATCATCTCTCTGTCACTTTGCTCTCTCCTCCTATAAGCATGCCACTTGCTAGCACATGAGCACTGTTGCACCACTGACTGGCTTCTCCTTCTCCCAGTTTGAACTTACACTGCCTGGATTTAAAATGATATATTAATGATGTGGTCTCCAAATGCAGACCCTATGCTGGTCTTTAACTGGCCCTTGAGGCACTATTCCTCCCAGTGATACTTATAATGGGGCACTAGTCTTTCCAGTGATGTCAGTGATGGGGCACTATCCCTCCCACTGACACCAATGATGAGTCACTATTCATGTCACTAATACCAAAGATGGGACATTATTCCTTCCATTGACACCAACAATGGGGCACCATTCCTCCCACTAATAGCAATGATGGGGCACTGTTCATCCCACTGACCAACTATGGGGCACTATTGCTCCCATTAATACAAGTGATGGTGCACTATTCCTTCCAATTACACCAATCATGGTACGCCAATCTTGGGGTACTACTCCTTCGACTAATAATAATGATGGGGCATTATTCCTTCCACTTACACCATTAATGGGGCAATCTTCCTTCCACTGGCACCAACAATTGGGCACTACTTCTTCCACTGACACCAATGATGGGGTCTACTCCTTCAACTTACACCAACAAAGGTGTGCCATTTCTCCCACTAATATCAACCATGGGGTACTATTCCTTCCACTGACACCAAGGACATGGCACTACTTGCCCAACTGACACAAACAATAGGGCATTATTTATTCAACTGACATCAACAATGCCTTACTATTCTTCCTATGGATACAAATTATGAGGCACTATTGTTTCCACTGAAACCAACATTAGGGCACTTTTCCTTTTCCCATTATTCCCAGGCACTAGGTAATATTTACTCTTACTGCTCACCAACCACTGATGCCAAGGCATTTTTTACTTCTACTGTCCACAGCATGGCCCAATCTGAGGGACAGTAAACTGGCATATTACAGGGTTAATTCAGAATTTAAAAATCAGTTTTAAACCAGGATCCCCTGGGAAAAAAAAGAGAACTTATCTCTCCAGCGGGCAGTGGGTTGAAGCTTGAAGCTATCTCGCAATAAGACGCTCGATTGCTTGTATCAGCAGCTGTCACTGCCGTTGCCTGTCCCAAGATCCGCTGTGCCCGATGCGGCCGGAACCGGCATGGCTCTGTGACAGGAGATCAAAGGGAGTTCAGT